GGCAGGTGTGCCAATGGCCCTGAGGCCTGGGGAGCTGGGGCTGCTGGAGAGAAGCTCTGTGACACCAGCGCTGGAGGCTGGAGAGGCTCGGTGACTGTGGAGCCCGCGGTGAGGTCCCACGGCCCCCGGCCAGAGCGAGGGCCAGCGTGGCGTCCAAGGCGGCTCCGGGAGCGAGGTGGGCTTTACTGTGGCACAGGATTGGTGGAGGGCACTGCTGGGGGATTCCACATAAACTCGTTTTCACAGACCTCACCTAGAACTTTGCTCTTAGAAGCTCATAATATCAGCTTGTGGAACTCCTTCCCAAGTGTCTATTTTGAAATACACATAGACTTGGCCTCCAAGTTGGGGTGTGGGGGCCCAGAGGGCCCTTGTCCTGGGTCCACGTGTGGCCTCCCCAGCCTTTCCGAGTATGTTTGGCACCCCAGGTGAGACAAGAGCCCTGGGATTCAGGGAGTGCCTCTCCTAGCTCTGACTGTTCTGCATGTGAACTTGGGCCTCAGTCTCCCCATCTCTGTGAAGAAAGGGTAGGGTCTGTCAGCCCTCTTGGACTCCACAGAGGGGACCCCAGTGAAGACAGCCAGCCTTCCACCGCTCAGCACCCTGGCAAGGACACAGAAGTGAAGAGGCACGCAGTTGCTCTAGGGTTTTATTTGGGTTTTGCGGAAGTGGGGGGTGGGGTTGGGGCAGGGGTTCAATTGGCCTCCAGAACCCCGAGAACCCAGGAAATAAACTTGGTGACACGGGTGTACACCCCCGGTGAGAATGGGTTACACCAGTCGCTGCCCCAGGACACGATGCCCACCAGGGTCCAGGCTCCGTCCTTCTGGCAGACCAGGGGGCCGCCAGAGTCGCCCTGCAGGACGAGAAAGGACCTGTTTACAAGCCTGAAGCGGGGTGCCGGGGCCCCGGTGTGCCCTGACCTGCCCCCGCGCAGGTTCTGTGCAGACAAATGACAAGTGTGGGGGCAGAGACTGGGCAGGAGGCTCTCCGATCTGGGCCACGTGGCAGGCCCAGCTCTGTCGCCTACTCCTGGTGGGCCCGGGGCACGTGGCTGACACTCTCCCCCGGCTGGCTGGCGTGGGGGCCCCCAGCGCCACTGCCGCCCAGAGGGGTGGAGCGGACGCGGCAGAAGGGAGCAGCCCCCTGGCCCGCGCGGGGGCGGGGCGGGGGCGGGGCCAGGCCTTACCATGCAGGACGACACGCCGCTGGCCCCGGCGCAGATCATCACGTCCGTGATCTTGCTGCCCCAGAACTTCTTGCAGTCGGCGTTGGACAGGAGGGGCAGGGCCGCCTGCTGCAGCTTGTCGGGGGTCTTGTTGGCTGGAGGGACACAGGGGGCGGGGAGCGGAGGTCAGGAGCCCTCACCCAGCCGGCCCACCCCGGGGTGGAGGAGACCCTGCCTCCCCCCTGCCTGCTCCCAGTCCTTCCCCATCACCATGACCTCAGAAACGGAGCTCCCCACCTTCCCTCAGACCTAACAGTCCCTGCGGGACCCCTTCCTCTCCGATTCCACACCAGGCAGTGGTGACATGGCTTCCAGCACAGCTGTTCACGCGAGCCGTGCCCTGGCAGCCCGTGTGGTGGGCGGGGGGCACTGCCTCCCCTCCGGGGAAGGGGGCTGACGTCCTTTTCACGGGGCGCTGCTGGGGACCCGCCGCTCTGGGTGGCAGATGGGGGAGCACCGTCCTCCTGCTGCCCTTTCCTGGCCGCCTCCTTCCCGGTCAAGGACCAGAGGGTGAGCCGGGGCCTGGGCAGGAGCACCCGGGACTCTGGAGGAAGATCGTCAGCGGAGGGAGCAGCCGGGGGAGGGGAGACCAGCCGGACTCTCAGGGCCCCGAACCACACCCGGACATCTGACTCCCGGCCCAGACTTCACGGCGAGCTTGACACAAACGCCCGCCTCAAGTCTGGAGAGGAGTCCAGGCTGGAAACCCGACCGTGGGGACCTCGTTGCAACGAAGTGAGAGTGCCACCTGCTGGTACTTGGGCGTTTCTTCAGCAACTTCGTCTTCAAGTGTGCAGTATTTAAGCTCATCTTTATTCTTTCATTCTTTCATTAAGAGGGTTTTAAGTAAAGAAACGGAAAGGAGGGCCTGAAGGGCTCATTCATTTAAGCATCCGACTTCAGCTCAGGTCATGATCTCACGGTTCATGGGTTTGAGCCCCACATCGGGCTCTGTGCTGACAGCTCAGAGCCTGGGCCTGCTAAGGATTCTGTGTCTCCCTCTCTCTCTGCCCCGCCCCCACTCACCCTCTGTCTCAAAAATAAACATTTTTAAAAATGTTTAAAAAGAAAAAATGAAAGATATACGACTTGGAATTTGTGTGCTTGGAATTTAGACCATAAAAGCCGAATGAGTCTCCCTTCTGAAAAGCCCCTGCAAGGACACTCACAGTTATACCGGGTCTTGCCCCAGCCGGTGGTGGCGCAGAGGGAGCCGGCAGGGAAGCTGGTGTTGGCACTGGGCAGGCAGACGGGGGACGCGGTTGTTGAGAGGAGGGCCGGTGTGGCCAGCTTCAGCAGGGCGATGTCGTTGCGGCCCGAAACCTGGTCCCACAGTGGGTATTCAAACACCTGTGGAGACGCCATGGGGGCTGGGCAGTCCTCACGGGAGGATGGCCGATCTCATGGATGGGAGGGACCTCAGGCCAGGAGAGGGCTCAGTGCCAAGGGGCCCTTGTTGAGAGCGAACACAGATGGGGCCGCACGGACAAAATCTCTGGAAACTGGTGGGAAAATGGCCCTTGACACGTTGGTGATATTTAGTTTTTTCTATTTTTGTGCTTTTCTACAATGAGCCAAACTTCAGTGTTTGAATAGGAGTCTTCTTACTTGGGAAAGAAGGGAAGAAGGCTTTGGTGGGTGAGGACTGTGCTGACTGGCTGGGGTCCTCTTTGCCCACACACCCTGCCCGCCACGGTCCTCACCCATCCCTGGCGCCCAGGGGCAGCCCTGCCATGGCCTTACCGCCCCACCCTCCTCAGCCGGCCTGCCTGGCCGTACCTCAGTGATCCTCAACACCTGGACAGCCTCCTCGTCAGAGCCGTGATCAGACACCCCAGCCACCACACGGTGGCTCTTCCTGGAGAGAGAGGAGGCAGTAGAGGGTACCCAGTGGGGGGAAGCCCTTTCTGGGCCCCTCACTCCCATGGGGACCTCTGGGCCTCAGTTGCCCCGTCTATAAGGTGGAGGCCCCAGCTCTCGTGGAACAGGCTGGGGCCTGAGGTGGTGGGGGGCATGAGGGTGGGGGTTTTCCCGGGGGGGGGGGGGCGGATAGCAGCAGCTTTGTCCCCACCTGCCATCTGTCTCAGACCCTTCCCGCCAGGCTTCATTCCCTGGAAGCCTAGTGGGTGGCCGGGCAGGGGTGGGAAAGGGCAAGGAGTGACCGTCATTCCCTGACAGCCAGGGCGTCCCCACTGTCCCCACGCAGGCCTCACCTGACCCTGCAGTGGGCAGCAGTGACGACCCAGTGCTGGCTGATGAGGGAGCCCCCGCAGAAGTGGAAGCCGGAGCGAGTCTGGGGAGAGAGGTGAGACAGTCAGCCTTCCCCCTCACGCCTGACCCCTCCCCGTCTAACCCACCTCTCCTCAGCTTCCCTCTCACCTGCAGGGACACCTGCCAGGGCCAGGAGCTGGGGACCGCATCCTCTCCATTGACGATCCGGGACAGGCCACTCAGCTCAGGGTGGATGGCAGGGACCCCACAGCCTGGGGGCAGGGACACGGCAGCTGGTCAGCGGATGGTGTCCCAAGGGGGCCAGGGATAGAGCCTGGCACTTCCAGGCCTCTGGAACCTAGGTGGCAACCTAGCACCCAGAGCTTTGGCCAGTGCAGGGCAGCCGGCCCCTTGTCACCCAGCCAGCAGCTGCCCCAGGTGTCCTTGTGGAGGGTCCTTGAGGCTGAGGGCATCTGGAGTCGGGCGGGGCCTAGAGCCCGAAGGCTGGGTGTCCACTGTGTGTCCTGAGAGGAGCGTCCCTCCCCTGCTGACCCCAGGGTCCCGGGGCGTGGGGACCGGGATGTCCTGCTGGAGTCGCTGTTGTTCCCAGGGCCCCTCGGTCTGCAGCAGGGGCAGGCTGGGGTCAGAGAGTTGCCCGGCTCAGGGCAGCATAGACCCGAGAGGCTGCCCACTTCCAGAGGACTGGGGGGCGGGGCCAAAGGGACGGGCGTGGGAGACATTCTTGAGGCACAGCTCCTAGGGCTCAGGGGCAGGTGTGGAGGAGCCCGGATGAACCCCGGCTTTTGAGCGGGTGGACAAGGCCAAAACGAGGCAGGTCCAGCCTGTCCGGTTGAGTCTGAGGGGCCCGACGGACCTCCAGGGGGAGGAGGAGTGGGGAGCCGAGGAGAGGCGCCCAGAGAGGCTGAGAGGGGTGGGCGGGGGGCCGGCCCCCGCGGGCGGTTAGACGTGTGTGGACTTGGTCCTCCGGTTCCCAGCTTCTGGCGGTGGGGGCCGGGGAGTGGGAGAGGCTTGGTCCGGGGCTGCCGGGCCCACCGGAACCTTGCACTCACCAGAACTGCTGCCAAAGAGGAGGAAGCCAAGGACAACCGGGAGAAGGGCCATGGTGTTCCGCTCAGGAGGTGGGATGGGGTCTGCCCGAAGGACCCCCGTTATATTCCCCTGGCCCACCAATTGCAACGCGCCTCGCCATCCCTCCCTTATCGTGAGTCCTTGGGTTCAGAAGCACCTGGCTCCTGCCCGGGCCTGGGAAAGAGTCGGCCCCGGGGGGCTGCTCCTGGGAAGGTTCCCTGGGACCACAGGTGTGTGCAGCCGGCAGCAGGGCTCATCCCCCCCCCCCCCCCCCCCGGCGGCCCGCTCCCTGCCCACCCCCCGGGCCGCCGTGCCTGCCGGGCGGGGGCCCAGATCTCACATCATCTACCTGCGCCCTTCCTGGCCGCTGTCTGGGGAGGAAGGCTAAAGGGGGGCCTCTCTGGGGACCCTCTGGTACCTGACCCAGTGAAGACCCATGTTCGGGAGAAGGAGGACTCAGAGGCCCCAACACAGGAGACACCATCATCAGTGTGTCTTTTATTGGTTTATTGACTCTGTGGGAGCAGGTCAGCAGGGAGGTCACGGTGGGGCTGACGGCTCAGTTGGCTTCCAGGATCTGCTGTACCCAAGGCATGAGCTCGGTGACGCGGGCGTACACGCCGGGCCTAGAGGTGGAGCAGGTGTTGCTGCCCCAGGACACGATGCCCACCAGGGTCCAGGCTCCATCCTTCTGGCAGACCAGGGGGCCGCCAGAGTCGCCCTGCAGGAGGAGAGAGAAAGGGGCTTGGATCTGGCCACCAGGTGCCCTGGGCCGGGGGCCCCTGGACATTGTTCCAGAGACCATTCCGGGGCCTCACGGCCAGTAGGCGCCCGGCACGTGCATATTGGAGGGATCATAAAAGAAGCTTCAGTAGCTCCGTCTGTGATCTGTGCCCCTGAACGTCTGGGCCATCAGCTGGGGTCTTATAATAGAGGCCCAATAAAGCTGGTTTGCTTGACAGGAAGGAAGCATGGGTGGTGCTGGCCTGGCTATGGAGCCACCGTGAGGGAGGGAGGGCTGCCTGATTCCTTCCAGAGCCCTCTGGGTCACTATATTCTGCTGCCCAGGTTGTACACTGCACTAATCCAGGGGATGGCATTTGTTCAGACATTGATGATGTCAATGGAATTTTGCAATATGGCAGTTTCGAGACCAGAGGCCCTTGCTCTGCATCCCTCTGTTGAGATCATCAGTTTTTACAACTGCTCAGGCAGGAATTCCAGAAAGAGCATGTCAAGCCTTCAAAAGAGGCCCTATGTGTTATTTCCATCTCCTCTCTCTGGCCGAGCCCCTTGGCCTGGGCTTTGGCCTGAATCCGCCCCATGCTGGGAGGGAAGGGGGTGCTGGGTGAGTCCAGTAGACCATACCATGCAGGAGGAAACGCCGCTAGCCCCAGCGCAGACCATGAGATTGGTGATCTTGCTGCCCCAGAACTTCTGGCATTCGGTGTTGGACAGGAGGGGCAGGACCGCCTGCTGCAGCCTGTCAGGGGTTTGGGCATCTAGAAGGGCAGGGCGGGGGGTCAGCACCTGCAGGTGCCCGCTCGGCAGCCCCCACCTCCCACCCGCCCGGCTAGAGGTCACTCACTGGTGTGTTTGGTCAGGCCCCAGCCCGTGGTTGCACACAGGGTCCCAGCGGGAAAGCTGTCCTTGGCATTGGGCAGGCACACAGGGGACACAGTCTGGGAGAGGCGGGCAGGCGTGGCCAGCTTCAGCAGGGTAATGTCATTGTTGATGGTGAACATGTTGAACTTGGGGTTCTTGAAAACCTATGGGGAGGGCAGAGGCTGACACAGAGCTGAACCAGGGTCCCAGGCTCCCCCAAATCACCTCAGTGCTTCTCTCTGGACAATGCCTGTTCAACTTGGCAGGCCTTTCTGTGGCCCCAGGAGCCTGAGGCTGGGCCCAGGACCGAAGTGCAGACCTTGAACGCCCTGCTTTCTGCTCTGCCCCCTCACGGTGGACCACTGGGGAGGTCGAGAGCAGCAGGGGGTTTTCAGGGCTGCACGCTCCGGAGGGCCCGCCCCACCTGGCCTCTGGGGGCCACCATACCTTGGCAATCTTCAGCACCTGGATGTCCTCAGCATCTGAGCCCTGGTCAAACTCTCCGGCCACGACCCGGTGGGTGGTTCTGGAGAGGGCCAGAGAAAGGAGGGGGTTCCTGCCGTGAGGTGCTGGGGCCGTGTGGGGGTGCCGGGTGCGTACGTGTGCACATATACCTTTGTGCATCTGCTCAAAGTTGTTGATCACAGAGACGGGAGCTCAAAATCTCAATAATTACCCCTGAGACAAACTGCCCTAGAGCCTGCTGTGTGTGCATTTCCTTCCCAGTAACCTTTGGGAGACCAGCAGGACTTGGGTTTTCGACACAGTCCAAATAAGGAAACTGAGGAACGAGGAGTTAAAGGTCTGGCCCTCACCGCCGGGAGTCTTCCCCCACCAAGGGGTTTCCTGGGGACCCTGGGCCCTCACCTGACACCACAGTGGGCAGCAGTGACCACCCAGTCCTCGCTGATGAGGGAGCCCCCGCAGAAGTGGAAGCCGGTGCTGTCCTGGAGGAAGATGGAGAGGTCAGTGCTGGCTGGACACCAGCAGCCCCCAGCCTGACCCCAGCTGGGCCAATACCCCAGTGTGTCCCCCACTCGTGCGCAGAAATCCCCCCTCACCTGCAGGGACACCTGCCAGGGCCAGGAGCCCGGGACAGCGTCCTCTCCATTGACGATCCTGGACAGGCCACTCAGCACAGGTTGGATGGCGGGGACCCCGCAGCCTGAGGGTGGGGGTATGAGGTGAGGGATGGAGGCCAAGGGCGTCCCGGGAACCCCCCAGGGACAACTCAATCTGACTTGTGCTTCAGCCCAGACAAGCCCAACAGGCTGGCGGGGAGGTGGTAGCCGTACTCAAGCACAGGCCGGAGGCTGGGCTCTGTGGGTTTGAACCCAGCCCCATCGCTGCCTCGCTTTACCATTCAGAAAAGCGTGTGCAGGCAAGGCAGGAACTTGCTGAGTTCCTGGCACATAGGAAGCACCAAGTGAACACAAGCTGTCAAGTGCTGGGCTCACGGGCCCCAAGGCGCCCACACCTGTCTGCTCACCATCTGAGTCTGTTGGGGAGCCACTAGCTGTTCAGAGTTTTCGCTGCCGTCCTCCCGAGCCCTTGCACTGGGTGTGAGGCCTCAGTCAGCCCCAGGAAGGCCCACCTCCCCCTGGGGGCCTCACACTGACTGGTCTGGCCCAATCCTCCCAGCATCCCCATTGTGGCGATGGGGCCGCTGAGGCTCAGAGGGGAGAGAGACCCGCTGGGGTCACACCACAGTGCTCGGCCGAACTGGGAGCAGGGACCCAGCTGCCCCTTCTGGCCTCGGGGGCTGGAGGGCAGCGGAAACATCCCTCCTGGCCTCTGCTTGCCCCGAACTCACCAAAGGCTGTGCCCAGGAGGGCGCAGCAGGAGAGGAGCCAGAGGAAGGCCATGGTGCCGTGGTCAAGGAGACATAGGGTCCCTGCCTTGGGAGCTCCCCATTATATCCCTGTGCACCAGGCTGTTATCGGAAAACCTTGAGGTGACAATCCCTTTCCTGGGCGTGTGCCCGAGTAGGCAGGATGTGCCAGAGCAGGCCTGGCATCAGGGCCTGGGATGGCAGCAGCTGCGGCCCATGGTTGAGCTTGGGTCTGGGTCAAGGGCGAAGGTGGGACCAAACAAGGTGGCCCTCGACCCACAGCCACAGGGAAGGGCTCAGGAAGCTTGGGCTTCCTCTTCTAGGCCCTGTTTCAGGAGGGCCAGGGCCAGGCCTGGCAGGGTTTGAGCCCCAGCCTATTGTCTCATAGACTGGAGAAACTTGGATAAGTAATTCATCTGGTCTGTTAGTTATTCAAAACCCCTGGGCAGGGCCTCTGGGGTGGCTCGGTCAGTGGAGCATCCGACTATTGATTTTGGCTCAGGTCACGATCCCAGGGTCATGGGATTGAGCCCCGCCTCAGGCTCTGTGCTCAGCACAGAGCCTGCTTAAGATTCTCTCTTTTCCTTCCCTCTGCACCCACCCCCCTAAAAACAAAACAAAAGAAAACAGAACAAAACAAAAACCTGAGCGGTGTGATCAAGTAGGGAGGACAAAGGGGCGTCTGGCCAGGGGGCTGAGGATGCTACCCCTGGTCTTGGGGGGTGGTCAAGAAGTCTCAGTGAAGGTTCCTTCTGTTCCACAGCTGGGGAGGTCACGTGGCCTGTGTGCAGTGCGGCTCAGAAGAGCAAGCCGCCCACTGCCTGTTCACGTGAGGCTGGGTCACTTAGTCCCCATGGGCTCCTGGAATGGAGCATGTGGCATCTGGGGCAAGACTGGACCCAGTGAGAGCTGGTAGAGGCTGGTCAGGCAGGAAATGGGGGCGTGGGGAGGCAGGCAGGAGGCCTGTTTCTGGCTTGGCCGACAGGGTGGGCAGTGGGGCCCTTTCTCAGCACCAGGGAAACTGGAAGAGGAGAAATCTGAAGGTGAGGCTGCCAGGCACAGCGAAGCCCCGCGAAACACACAAGGAAAATGGTATCTCAGGGCTGTTTTTAACTTCCATTGCATCGATGACCGTAGTGTGCTCCACGGCACACATTTCAGCACCAAACAGCTGTGGAGACTTGGGCAGGTTACCTGCCCTCTCTGGTTTTGTTTCTTTTTTTTTTTTAATTTTTTTTCAACGTTTATTTATTTTTGGGACAGAGAGAGACAGAGCATGAACGGGGGAGGGGCAGAGAGGGAGGGAGACACAGAATCGGAAACAGGCTCCAGGCTCTGAGCCATCAGCCCAGAGCCCGACGCGGGGCTCGAACTCACGAACCGCGAGATCGTGACCTGGCTGAAGTCGGACGCTTAACCGACTGCGCCACCCAGGCGCCCCACTGGTTTTGTTTCTAAGCATGTCAAATGGGGGGTGCTTATAGTGTGGATCCCACAGTATGAAAGGGCATGACCCATCTTGAGCCAGGACAAGGCCTAACACAAAATCATCCATACTCACTGCTCCTCTGAACTCCTTCCTGCATTGCCTGTTGGTGCCCTTCCCACGTTCTAGAAGACTGTCCCATGACAGCAAGGGATGGCCACACTATATCAGGTGGGAAGGCAAGGCACAAAATGGGTTGCAGGGGGCGGGGTGGCCCCTTCTGTGAGACCATGCTACCTGAGCAAGCCTGTTCTTCCTTACAACTCACGCTTACCAGGCCTAGGCCCCTAGTCAACTGGAACAAAAGAAAAGAAACAAATTTCTCCTGCTTTAGCAAGCTTCCATGGGGAGGAGTTGGAGAGTTTAAGTTAAAAAAAAAAAAAAAAAAAACGTAAAATGTACATTCCACCAGCTAAGGAGCTATCATTTAAAACAAAAAATTTTTAATGTTTATTTATCATTGAGAGAGTGAGAGTGCAAGTCCGGCAGGGGCAGAGAGAGAGAGGGAGACACAGAATCTGAAGCAGGCTCAGCACCGTCAGCACAAAGCCGGATATGGAGCTCAAACCCACCAACCGTTGAGATCGTGACCTGAGCTGAAGTCGGATACTTAACGGACTGAGCCACTCAGGTGCCTCATATCCTTATCATTTTAAAAAGATTTTGTTAAATGCCGATTTATTTTTAAGAGAGAGAAAGTGAGTGGGGGGGGGGAGGGGCAGAGAGCGAGGGGAGCAGTGGATCCGAATCGGATCCATCAGCACAGAGCCCCCTCCATTATTAATACCGAGGCAGGAGGGCCTCACCCACACCCGGACATTTAAGTCACGGGAGCATGCGGGAGTGCGCCAAGCAAAGCTCGGAGGCTGTGTCCACGCCTAAGCTGGACACAGAGCAAAGAGCAAAGTGTGCCTAATGTCGCAGGTGGTCGCCCGGAGGAGGCCAAAGGGCACCGATGAGCCCACAAGGCAGGGCGCCAGGGCTGAGAGGACGAGGGGGGCGACCGAGGAAGGCCCAGGTGGAGGCACTGTCGGGAGCGGCTGGCCCTGAAGCTGCGGCCCCCGGTGAGTTGTTCCATCTGTCGGTCGTCCCTGGAGGCGCAGTGGCAGCGACCGCGGGTGTAGCGGGACCCGAGAGGGGGAGGGGCAGAGTGGCGGGGGCGGGGCCAGGACGGCCCGAGCCAGCAGGTGGCTGAGGCCTTGGGAACAGACTGCCCGCCCGCGCCCCACCCCCCCGCGCCGCTCGCGCGCCCTGAGAGGTCTGAGAAAGCGCGCAGCTGCAGGTGGAGGCGGGGAGGGCGAGCCCGCACCTGCGCCCACTCCTGCCGGGGGCGGGGCCCGGGCCCTCCACCCCGCCCCGCCGCGACCCCAGACCCACCCGAGGGACCCCTTTGCCTGCGCCCTTCCCTCCCTTACGACGCCAAGGCTCCTCCGCGCCTGCGCGCAGAGCCTCCTCACGGGCGCAGCTCGGCCTCGCCTACGGCCGGCCCCTGCCCAGCAGCCTCTCGTCGGCGTCCCGGGACAAGCCGACGGGTGTCTGCGCCCAGAAGTTGTTCAGCCAATCAAGTTTACGGTAACGAATATTTTCCTGGCTTGCATTTTTCGTTAATATTTCTAACTTCCCAGCCAGGGGTCTGGAACCCTGCTTCCTAAGCCCCTGGAGTGCACCCGTCCGCGCTCGTGCACACTCCCAGGGAGAAGGTACGGCTTTGCTTGCGGGTTGTCTGCCATCTGAGAAAGTCGTAACTCTGCGCTTGTTACCTCGTTGCAAGCAGGCAGCGTCTAGTGTGTTTAGCGGGCAGTGCTGAAGCAAGCCCGGGGAAAGGTGTAACTCACTGAAATGTATTCGGGAGACGACCCGATCCATGTGCGCCCTGGGAGCAAACATGACGGGGACAGCTCTTTCCCAGGCAGCCAGTGTTGAGGGGAAGAGCTTTGCTGGGGGCCCTGAGCCAGTCTCTGCCCAGCTGCCTCCTGGGATTTGGCCTCTGGTGGGGGTTGTGCCAGGGATCCCGGTCCTGTCGGCGTGGACGGGGTGGGGGGGAGGTGAGCATTACGCAAGCGTCCTCCCGTGGTTGCCAACTCTAACACTAGGGCATTGCTCGAGGCCAGAACTCAGATGTCAGTTTCCTTAGGTGAACTTCCTTCTTGAAGTCCTGCCTCGTAAGGAGTCAAATCCGAACTCTCTTTTTTATTAAAAATAAGATACACTGAAGTATAATTTACATATGATGAAATGCACAGATCTTAAGTAAACAGCAGTATGAGTTTACATATATACATACATGCAGGTGCACACCATAGTGTAACAGACACCACAACCAAGATGTGAATTAATGCCGTCACCCCAGAAAGTTCCCTCACGCCTCTTTCCAACTACCCCTCTCCTGAGGCAACCAGCAACCACTGTAACTATTTCTTTCCCCATAGATTAGTTTTGCCTGTTGTAGAAATTTACATAAGTGGAACCTCCTGTCTTTGCATCTGGATTCTTTCACTCAGGCAAATGGTTTTATGATTCACTTGTGTTCTTGCCTCTGTTAGTAGTTTGTTCCCTCACCCCACAATGCATGGGTTGCCTCTTCCACATCCCAGCCCTCTTTTTCGTTCCTTGTACTGAGGTGACTCTCAGCCCTACACACAGGCGTGTGAAAAATGTAAGGTTTTAAGTTTTTCTATTAGAGAACATTGTTTCTTTTCTTTTTAAAAACTTGTTTTAATGTTTACTTATTTTTGAGAGAGACAGAGACAGAGAGTGCAGATAGGGAGGGGCAGGGAGAGGGAGACACAGAACCCAAAGCAGGCGGAGCTGTCCACACAGAGCCCGACGCGGGGCTTGAACCCATGACCTGTGAGATCATGACCCAAGCCGGAGTCACATGCTTAACCGACTGGGCCACCAAGGTGCCCCTGTTTCTATTTTTTTTTTAATGTTTATTTATTTTTGAGAGAGTGCGAGTGGGGGAGGGGCAGAGAGAGAAGGAGACAGGATCCAAAGCGGCCCTCTTTGCTGTCAGCACAGAGCCGGATGCGAGGCTCAAACCCACGATCCATGAGCTCGTGCCCTGAGCTGAAGTCAGACCCTGCTTGCCCTGAGCCACCCAGGTGCCCCGCGTCATTTCTGTTTTGATCATTAATTTTGTCAGGAGCCTGAAACCAAATCTCAGCCCATGGAGCGTAACTACTGTCATCCTTGGCTGGCAGTGAACCCAGATGTACAGAGGGGAGCTGGTTCTCCTCAGGTGTCCACACTGCTGGTTGCCGAGGAACCTGCATCTCGTGGCTGCAGCTGGCCTTTTCTCTTCCCTATCCCGAGGCCTCCCCAGGGCTAGGCTTCTTTCTCAGCCACTGCCGCACTCTTGCGGGACCCTGGGAGACTTCTGGCTGCTTCCTCTGCTGTGCTAGGCTCGGGGTGCTCTGCAGGGTCCAGCTTCCCAGTCTTCACAGGCGGCCCTCCCTGCTCTCGGACTCCACAGCAAGATGGGATTGGAGGTGCATGTCTAAGGTTGGTCAGAGGCAGTAAGACAAAGGCCCTGCCTTAAACTCCCTTGTTTTCCTATCATTTCCCCCCCCCCCCCCCCCCCCAGCCATGGCAGAGTAGGGAACAGAAGATGGCTGCGGGCG